AGGTAAAGCGTGCAAACTCAGCTTAAGGAATTTCCTCAAACACTCATGCTTCATTGAGCTTTGAGATACTATAACAAGAGCGGGGAATGCAGGAAATTACAAGTAATATGTTTTGAAAAACAAAATTAACAAAATCTGCTTGCAGGCCTGTATGAATTCACGTGTTCAGATTCCTTTAAGTAGTGGTTTGGTCCGGGTTCACACAGTCCTGGAAACAATTAGTCTCCTGAGGTCAGGTCTTAGTAAGTCTCATGGCTATGGTCTGGTCCACTCGGTGCATTTAGCTCCTCAAAGCCTGTAGATTCCCAAATCTTCAGTCTCACTGATGATCTGCTGTTACAGTGTCTATGGACTTTAAAACAACACAGGTGCATTTGGTTTTGTTTATGTCCACTGGAAAAATAATTTCACCTTAATAATCTTTCTAAAAGTCTGCAAACATCCGAATAATTTACTGACGTTTAGTTTATGTTTTGTATTCCATTTCTATCAAAATACAGTGAGCCACTTTTATTAATGTTGACTGTCAGTTAAAAAACACTTTCTGTTCAAAGCAGGCAGCTTATGAAAATGCTGGACAGCATTTTAAACTAGCCCTCATGATGGTAGTCAAAAGCCTCGCTCTATGTATCGCTCTTTGATCAACATGAGAACATGGCTGGCTTAAAACATAATACCACATCCCTTATTATTTATAGTCCACTTTCCCCAGACACACTGTATACATGTCTTGAGGCAGACAACGGCCCATGAAGAGCCGGGGTCTCTCGGAGATTTCTTAAACCTGGATCGAGACAACCCTGGTCTAGACCTCACTATGTAAAGTGCCCTGAGATGATCATTCTTGTGATCTAGCACTATACAAAATAAAACGGAATCGAATATGACTACACCATCACTGCCATTACAGATGTGCTCTAGTATTTTGCACTGGTTACTGTGGATTTACAGTCAAAATTAATTTGCCATTTTTCAGGAGTTAGGTGTGTAGAGTGCAGGAGGTCTGAACTTTCAATTGCAGCATCATGGTCCTTGTCCATGCCTCTATGTCTGTTTAGCCATTGAGCATAATATTTTGCTTAGCTACAGTAATCACACTGTGTGGGCCAGTGCTGCATGCAGATTTTCACTTAATCAAATTAAATATTAGCCTGATTCATCGGTTTGGCTTAATGAAATCAGCTGACCCTCTAACACAGTTCATCACTGGTCGAACAACCTGCTGAATGGAGGTGTTGAGCTGACATGCCCTGCCATATGAGGTCAAACACTGGTGTGTTGACCTGTAGCCTCTGTCCATTCAGGCGTCATGGTCAGCCTGCCATGGTTTTTTTGTCTGCCTATCATATCTAATCATTCATCTCAACCATGAGGCATCTATGCAGACTTCCAGTCCTGACAGTAAACCATGTCCCCCAGCAGCCACTGGATTGAATGTCCTCTAAACATATGAAGAACCTGAGCTGTCACAAGTGTGCAGAAATATCTTAATGCATGTCAGAGAAGGAGGCAAGATCTTTGAGACTGACACCTGTCAAACTCACTCATGTGACACAGCAGCTACTGTATGTGTCACATTCCTGTTCTGTGTCATTCAAACTCTTTTTCGGTCTTACTTTTCTCAGTTTTTGGTTCGTCTGGTGTCCTGGGGCCCTCAGGTCTTTGTGCTTCAGTAGTGCTGGACTCAGCAGGCTGCCTGTGTCCACACACTGCTGCCTCAGCACTAATAAGGCAACAGAGTGATAAAGCCAGAGTTGTCTGCTTTCAGCATCCCTACTCAACCGTACCCTTACCTAACCCCCCACAGAGACACCATTAGCAAATCTATTGAGAATCCCATATTAGGGAAAACATTAAGGAGTCTAATTGTGGTGCTGAACTGGGACTCACTGAGTGTGTTCATTTTTGTAACCACTCTAATGAGTTGCAGTTTTTCCTCCGATGAGTTTATCGCTCTACATTCCAGTCTGAGCCATGTCACTGACCGCTGGGACATCTCCTAAAATAGTTCGACCTTCATGCCATAGAAAGGAAATTTTCAGAGACCGTATGTTTAAAAGGTAATTACAACTTGTCTATTACAATTTGGTTCTTACTTTTGTAGTTTGGGCTATTATTTGTATTTGTTATAATATTGTACTCATTTAAGTAATTACTGTAACCTGGGAACAGGCCGATATTGATATAAGTCAGACGGGGCAAGAAACATGAATGGTTAGGCAAGGAGGTTGGAAACAAGCCAACATTGCACAGGAACACTGTGCATGCACAAAGTGTCAGTACATCAAAGCTGTACCAAGAATTTGATGAGTTCATTTTCTCTCCCATATTTAACATGGGGGTTTAGTTAAAATCTGTCTGAATGTTTTTCTTTCCCCTTTTTTATATCAGCTGACTACTATTTAGCAACGTTGCTGCATTCCCACAGCTCACCAATAAACTTGGTGATTATACTGGTAACACTAGATAGCACTCAGAGAGCGCAGATCACTATCCCCATAGTGCCATTACACCTATAAAGCAATATTCTCTTGGTACTTCAGCCCTCATACTATGATTCTTTGACAATGAAAACCTAGCCCTGGCATTTGGATTCACATTGATATCATTAGTAGTTTTATTCAAGAAAAACGATATTTCAGTGATGACGGTTTTCTTCAGGATCTGGCTTAGTAATGTTTGAAGCTACATCAAATCTGTTGACACCTGACTGAGTCAGTAGAGTTTCAGCTAGGATTTGATCTTTGTTGCCAGTCTGTGGCATATCAGTAGTAAGTTTTCACTGAGCCCTTTGAATGTGAACATTCAGGATCAGCAGATCCGGAATCTCACTTGGATCCGGATCAAACTTTGGTGCGTGGTAGATGTTATGTGGATGTTACTGTGCAATTTTTGTACAAGGATCGTTGGTGTTATGTAGAGTTAGAAGCAAAAATAATGAGAATGGCCCTATCTCAGGTGAAGAACCCTTTAAAAAATTCCTGGATCCAGATGCTGATACATCAGCACCGAAATCTAATGAGTTGTTCCATGGGCCATACCCCCCTTTCCAAAAATGTCTTCACAGTCTTACTTTTTGAGTTATGTTGGGAACAACCCAACAAACAAACAAACGAACCAACCAACAAACACCAGTAAAACAAACCTTTGCTGAGGTAATTACCAATTACAATGGACAAATTTACATAAAAAAGATCCAAGATGTTAAAAAAATACAAGAACATTTTTTTAATTACAGATGTGAGAAAGATCACTGAACAGTTATTGGCTACAATACATGGCTGAAGTGCCTGCAGGATTGAAAGAGAGAGCAAACACTTTTTATGACATTGTCGCATGATGAAGTGCATGGGGTACTCTGCATGCCAAACATAGGATTACAATATCCCCGTCTATTTTCAGCCGGCCTGCAAACTCTGTTTGCTCACTTGTATATGACTATTTGTGGTGGACTATGTGTATATGGGTGGTATCCTGTAGCTGGTGCGACAACGCAGTAAGGAATCTCAGCTGGACCACCGGCTCTGTGTAACGGGAGGAGACGCCTGGAGCATGTGGCCCTCAGTGTGGCGCTAAAAACAGCCCGACAGCTGTGTGTGAGGAGTGAGTACATGAAACTGGAACAGCATCTAACTGTGAGATTTATGAACTCCTGAAGCATTTCTGAGTGTTTTTTTTTAATCATAAATACCTAAAATATATTTAACATTGTATGATGTTATCTTTTGGAGTTTGTTTTCTTTGAAAAATTTTACTCTGGATGCCAGAAACTTAAACAGCTTAAAAGGGAAAATATGTTAAGCAAGGCTTGAATCCTTCCTTTCTTGTGTGATATTTATGTTTGCCATGATTGAAATCTTTAATAACACAAAGTTTATGGGATTACATCTTCAAATTAATTACACAACAGTTTCTAATACCAGTAACACTCAATTACTTCAACACTTTTGGAGGATAAGTGTGTTTGCTGTCTTACAGGGAGGTTGAGTTTCACTGAACAGACTGAGCTGGTGGTGAATGGACGTGGCTACTTTCCATCAAAACAGGATGACCACGCCTACCACTAACATCAGGATTGTCTTTTTGGGATGTTTTGGTTTCTAAACTGACTTGCTAGCCACTGGTAAGCTTACACCCAGCAGTCACTGGGCTTTGTCTAGATTTGGGAGAAGCCAGTGGACTAGCCCTGACGGCCATCTGCTGGGACCCAATGTTTCAGTTGTAAAATTCCTATGGGAAGAATGGAGCAGCCTTTTTAGAAAAATATTCTAGTTTAGTCTTGTGAAGAGCATGCCATCTCGTTGTCTGAGTGATATAAATCACTGAGGAACTCTTGTGTCTTCAAATGTTTTAAATTACTTTCTGTGATGAATTCAGATTGGATTTTTACTTTTCTATGAGTAAATGCCTCCAAAATGTGGGCTGGCTGCTCGCTAAACCGCATTGTCTTGTTTTCTCTTCCTAACATGATGTGACATGTGGGTGTGGTGGCTTTGGAATAGTTGGAAGGCATCTTCAACAGAGCCGAGTAACAAAAAAAAAGCTGTGCAACAAGAAATGTAAGATATTTTCCCTACTAAGTCAACCGCTGTGATTGCTTTCTAATGAGCCCTAACATTTTTCAAGTAACTTGTTCATCATCTGTTTTAGCCAGTCAAGATACCCCCGTTTTCACCACAACCTGACCACAGTTCCTTCAACCCTTTCTTAATTACCCTGTTCATTTCCCTCCAACCAAAAACTCTCTCCGCTGTCATCTGGGTCCAAGCTTCAGTTTGATCGCTCTCTCTCAGTCCCCCACCCTGCCTGCTGCCCTCCCCTCATTCCCTCTCTCTCTCTACTTCAATTCTTCTAGCATAAAGAGAGAGAAAGAGGGGAGGGAGAGGGGGATGGGAGATTCATGGGGGAGGGGAGCTGAGTGCTCACTCCGTTGTCACTGGCCAGAGAGAGAGAGGGAGCGAGAGGGAGGGAGAGAGAGAGAGGGAGAGAGAGGGAGAGAGAGAAAGAGAGGGAGAGAGAGAGGAGCTGTGTCCTATATGTGGAAAAAAGCATAGCAGTGCGCACACGGCCTGGTCTGCTACAGGGATTATCGTAGTGCTTTCAGATCTGATGGAGGACATGCAGGCATGAATAGGTAAGGCTGTCTGTGTTCTCTGCATCTCTGTGTTGTGCTGTCATAGACCTGAAGTTAGATAAGGACCGGAACGGAGCATGTTGTAACAGTTCTTCCCTTTGGCCACTGACCATGAGACAGTTCCCTGAGCAGACCAAGCCTCTTAACTCTGCCTTTTCCTCTCAGCCTCTCTCTGATCGGTGCAAAGGACAGAGCTGTGTTTGTTTTAGGTGGAAGCTGTGGTTTGCTGCTGTAGCATAGTTAGTCTGAGATGAGCGTTAAAAGTTGCCTGTCAGTCAGCAGAGGAGCTCAGAGCCGGAGGTGGTGCTCGTGAAGCCTGTTGGTTCAAGGGACAGCCGTGTGGTCATTGCGTAATTTCTCCTGCATATATGCATAATGGTACGAGTCAGTTTAAACTGGTAACTGCATTGTTTGTTTTTACACATAATATAAAACGCAGAGCCTCTGTTACCAATGCAGCAATGTGCAAAACCATGATTTCCATAATATTGCATTACGGAAAGTACTGGTCTTGAAAAGTAGTTTTAAATATTTCTGATCTTTTGGTCAGTGATTTTGTGTTTTAAACAGCTGAAATAGCCTCATCTTTTCTTATAGATGGACGGTACTTTTACAGAAACATTTAAATGTATATTGTGGCTATTTTAAAAACCGGAAGACAATTTCAGCTGTCTATTGATTTTTATAAAATAAGCACCAATTGTAGATAAAACAAATAGTGATTTTGTATCCACTAAATTGAGAAATGCCACAGATGGCTGCTATTAAAAAGCTAAATTCTTCCATACATGTTTTAGTGTCATGGGCTTGCTCAGATAGTTGCTGAATATAAGACTAAAACAATAGAACCTGGAGGATTAAACTTTCTTTAATCTGCACAAGATAAAAATATGACATTTACATCACAAACCAGAATAGAGCTTTTTTTTTCAAATAGACAGACATAGTTGGATTTATTAGTTTTCTACAATTTTGAAGCCTCACAAAGTATAAGTTTTTTCAGATAGCTTGAACTGAAACTTTATCATTACGGGAAACATTTTTTCCTCAGTGTTTTGCTTATGTGGCTCCGAACGCATTTGGTCTCCTAAGAATGCAGTCTTTATTGCCCCAGTGCACAGAGCCGTGGTATGCATGAGCCTTTTTGTGGGGTAGATTTAGAAAGCCGTCTTTAGAGGCTGGATGCAGCTTCACAATCAGCTTAATGCCTCCTCTATAATGAATACCCTTGTTTGCATCAATTTGGCAGACTGTGTGTGTGTGTGTGTGTGTGTGTGTGTGTGTGTGTGTGTGTGTGTGAACTTTGTTTTTAGCGTTCTCAGGCTGGTCCGTAATTCTGTCATACACTAGGTGAATTCTGGTCTGTGTGTTTAGGTTTGTGTCACCATGTGACTTGGTGTGAGAGAGCTGGTTGACATGTGTGACATTGTGCAGCAGCCTGCCTCACCTCTCCCTCTCTCTCTCTTTCTCTCCCTTAGGGCTGTTCTGTTGTCAGTGCAAGCTCATGCCAGTGATGGACTACAACCGGACAGATGCTAACCTTAGCTGGCATTCACAAAACAGCATTCCTCCTTACTGAGACCAGCTCCACAGAATGCTGAGTCCTATTGTCCCCTATAGTGAGTACACTACACCCTTCTTTCTCTCTACCCTGCTGCATGCCACACCAAACAGCCCCACTTGACTTAGATGGACTTTGCCTGAATCAATGAGCCTCTGCTCTAAAAACAAGCACAGGTGTTGGTGTTCTATAGTTTGCACACAGAAGGAAAAAATGCACAGGTAACAGTGAAATTGTGCAAGCTTTAGTGCAAAAGCATGAGTTTTTCCTCCCTCTGCACTGCAGAAATGCTAAACCCTGAGCAATGGCTGAATGTTTCATCACCAGACTGATGGGGGAGAGAAGATGGACAGAGGGAGACTGGAGGGCTGAAGGTTTTAGCAGAAGAAATCCATCGTTTCTGCCAGTGTCATTTTACCAATACAGCACAGGACTTAACCCCACACATGCTGCCTCCTGTTCTCCCCCCGTTTCCATCTTCTCTGTCTTTTCTGACTTAGTAAGTGATGCATCCAGTTTTGGTCTCCCCCATTTGCACCCACCCACGAGGTTTCATTTGAGTCCAGTGCTCTGGCTTTCCCAAACAGCATTGTTTGCCGGCCAGCATGAGGCTGCCTCTGTGGCCTCGGCCTCAGGAGCCTCTTTTTCCCAGCTCTTTAACTCATCTCAATGGAATATTATCAGCATGACAGTTACAGGAAAAGAGGAAGAAATCAAATGGAATGGTTCATTTAAAAAATATTACTTCATAATGGATGCTAAAAACTTTGGAATCATTTTTTTAGCTTGAAAAATTTGGATTGCAGAAGCTGTGTGTGGGTGTGTGAATTCAAACTGGATAAAACAGCTTGAATAAGGCATCACATGTGGATGTTTGACAGTAACGGTTTGCTTTTTGTATATTAGACCCCTAAAACAGGCAGTGTTATTCATAAGTTGACTGGGATTTAGAAATGTTGCCTGTGCGGTACATAGTGGACCTAATGTCTTCTTATGAAACCTGTCCTCTCACAAGTGGCTCTTGGTTCATTTAATGCCAGCTCTCCCAGAACATAGAATGTTATTTTGCCTTAACATGATGTTTATAGCTGTAAATCCTCCAATAATACTGATAGACCATGAATTTCTAAAAGCATGCATGCATTTTGGGTGGTTTCTCACAAAGCCTTGTATAACTGATTGCTCCATCAGCCCCCTGCACCCTGCTAGTCCACACAGTCTGAGCACACTCAACACTGCTACATTCTTGGACTGCACGTCCAAGAATGTCACAAACTGCTGGTGGAATACTTAGCATGCCTCCAGAGCAGCCACATTGCTGGTCCTTCATGGGAATCTTCCAATTCATTATGCAAAGGCCTTTGTGTGTGATTAGCTTTTATGCACAATGCTGGTTTTCATCTGTTCTATTCAGTGGTTTGATGGTGTTTCATGTACAGAGCAGCTCTGTTATGCAGACTTGAGATACTTTCAGAACAGTCTGCTAATGTGAGGGGTCGTATGAGAGCACACAGCAGTGTTAGGTGGTCACGCTGTTTACTCTCAGACCAGTGGCACATAAACACACCCCTGTGCTCGCTGGTGACACTGCAGCTTACTGCCTTTTAGTTAAAGATTGCAGACATGATTTTGCTGGGCAAAAATCTGACTGTGGGATTCTGCATATGTGCAGGACATGCAAAGACTCTCACCTTCATGTTGGAATTCCCTTTGTGGGAATATGGAGCATTCTCGCTTCCCAACACTAGTTCTGACTGATGGTACAGGCACATGGTGCACATTCATACAACGTTCTTCCCTGGGGTGTCCGGCCTTGGTTCATGTCTCCGGCCAGTCCAGAGAACTTCAAGCTGGGGCGAGCAGCCATGGCCGGACCTGAGAAGAAACCTGAGAGAGATTCCAGGGGCCATGGATACTCCTGGAGGGATTTGGTGCAAAGAATCTGTAATCTGCACTTCAAACACACTCTTAAATCAGTCCCAGGCCGCCAACCCAGGAGTGCCCTAACTCTTGTTGCTGGGGCCCCCCCACTGGAGTAGCGATACCTTTTCTTTTATAAACAGTGCACAGACACACACACAGTGCAACTACACACACAGGAGTCCAGGTCTGACAGTTTTTATAGCTCTCCTCTGATTGACCCCTCTCCTTTCTCTCTTTGGCTCTGTTCTTGTGTTTTGTATAAGTGTTTTTGTGAATGTCTTGGCTAAGTCATGGAGGAGTTTGTATAGAACAAAAAGGAACAGATCTCATCCTAGCCCTTCAAGGAACAAGTTGGAGGGCCATGCCAGCATCTGTCCCTGTTGCAGGCAGAGGAGTATGAGAACGGCAATGGAGGGGCCTGTGAGGCCCTTGAGTAAACACACAGCTTGCTTAAGTGTGTGTGAATAAGAGCTGAGATCATTAGTGCAGAGTGTGAATGGGCTCTAATTAGCCCCCAGGGTGTGTGTGTGGCTGTGTGTTTGTGTGTATATGTTTGCATGCGTCAAAGAAGGTTAGGGACCCAGGGCCCTGTGAGTCCACTGGTCCTGTGTCTCTCCGAGGGTTCATCAGCTCATTAAGGAGACCTCTGCTCCTGTTAAGGGCCAAAAGAAGCAGTGTGGTGAGGCTCATTTAGATGGCAACACTTCACTGGATTCCTGAGGTAGCAGAATTCAGAGCTTGACAGTAAGACACAACGTCATTCACACAGCTAATTAGTAAATGACTACGCTTGAAAAATAACACTCTTTAAATGTTATTTGTTTGTAGTGCGATCATAAAATACACTGCCATAGTGGGGATCGTGGCCGCTGAATATATTGAGTTCTCTCTCATTTGTGTGTGTGCTAAAAGAAAACAACAACTCCCAGAGCTGTCCTTGTGCTCAGAGTATAGGCTGGGAGCACAGAGGACCTGGGGATTTGGCCAGAAAGGAGGGAATGCAACATGCTCACTGGAAATGGGGGAATAAGGGAGGTGGAGAAGCTGAGAAATGAGAAAAGAAGGTTATTGCAAGGAAAAGATAGAGCTGAAGAGGGGGCGATAGAACAGAAATTGGGCAAGTGAGACAGATGGAAGGGGCGACTGGTCATCACAGAGCTTTAGGACAGCTGTTCTTTGATATATTAGTGGACACAATGGCCTAAAGCCAGCCTGCAGTCACAGAAAATAGAGACCCTGTTTCTTTAGAAGGGGAGGTGGGGTATACGGGGCCCTGCCATTTGTGGACGTGCGTTAGCAGGCACGGGGGATGGGGGAGTTGTTTCTAAAATTACGAGCATGAAGTGACGCATACAGCAATTATTCTGGAGGCTTGCTGGTTTTGGTGAGTGCTGAGAAAAGAGCTGTAAAATTAGCATGTTCTCAAATGGGAATTTACTTTTTGCTGCACTTTCACTAGAAATTCTAAACACATTTGTCAATTAATCAGTAAGTAAGTAAGTAATTTTCTCTTCGTTCACTTAGAAAAACATGTTTTAATGGCACTGAATATCGGCCTAAGTCTGCTAATGAATTGCTTATTTACCAAAGAGAGGCCTGTTTGTTTTGTTAATCAATTGGTTTTGACCAGTAATTTTATTTATCCCAACTACATTCTATTACAGATAAGGCTGCTATGATTTTGTTAGCCTTCAAAATACACAGTACAGTGTTGTCATGTTTTCTAATAAAACCATGTTAGCTGTGCACTTTGACAAAAACTGTTCTGACAGCTGGCCTGAAACATTCCCGAAGGGGGATGAAACAAAAAATAGAGTAAGTCAAACTGTCATTCTGATACATGGTGTACAGATAGCTCTATCCCCAGAACGAGGCAGGCGCAGATATGGAGAGAGACAGAGGCACACACACACACAGAGGACATCCCTCAGTGCCAATTCAGGAGATAGGCTTCTTCCTCATGGGATTGGACTGGTGAGGCGTGTTTGAAAAGAGCTGCGTCTGCTCGTGCACTGGGCAGCAGGTGTGAAAACTCCCCACCAGAGCTCCTGTGCTCTTTTGTTATTACATCTTTTTAGGGCCATGAACGAGGGAGCAGATGAGCCAGAGGGAGCGAGACGCAGAGTGGGAGTGTGAGATTGTGTTTCTTTTGATTGATAGCAGCCCTGTGACTAATACATAGATTTATAATAATTTTCCCTAGCAATTCCCAATTATGCATGGCTGATAAATTATTATCCCTGTTGTCTGGTGTGCACATTATTATCCTTGTCTTAAGGCAGTTTGGGAAAGCTATTGACCTCCTATTTCCTTTAACAGCTTTTGGCAACACCCCACACAGTAGAAGCTTTTCGGCATCTGTAGGATAATATTGTACAAGGTCACCTGACATTTAGTAACATGAGTAAAGTGTGTAATCTACAATATGTGTGAGGAATTTATTTAGTTTTTAATATGTTTGTACAAGACCTGGTAAAATACGCATTTCATTACCAAAGTGAGAGAATGTCCAGGGCCAATTTTCCACTGTCTCCACCTTACATGCTGTGAAATGTAGCCGGCCTCTCAGATTGGTGTTTTTATCACAGGTAGTGTGCAGCAGTAGGACGGTCACAGCCCAGTGAAAATGTTCTGCTAGATATTGGCATCATAAATCACAGTGAACTTGAGAACCAAGGACTTAAGGGGCTTCAGGAGTGAATGACAATCAAGATAAACAAAGCAAACCGCTGGTCCTTGCTTTGTATGCCAGACTCAACTCAGTGCATTGGATTTGTTTGTCTAAAATGAACAGTAGTGTTTAAGAGAACCCCCGAGGACCAAGATTTTTTTTTTTTTTTTACATATTTATGTCCAGCAAATAGATGTTTCATCCACTGAGTCATTGATCAGCTTGCACTTGCTGAATGCATAACAAAGGATTCAGTCGTCAAGTTTGTGATTCATCAGCACAAATGTAGTGTCTGTCACACTTTCTCCACTCGGCCTGTTGTTCCCCTTTGGCATGGCCATGTGTTTTGTATTCTAAGTGCATTCATTTCAAGCTTTTCTCTTTAAAGTTGCTGTATCTGATATGCTGTTTGAAATGACATACTCCAGCTACAGCTGCATTCTCAAAACAATATGACACTGCCCTGTCTGCAACATTTAGTTTAGAAGCGATGAAAGAATTTTAGCATAGTTGTCCCTCCATTGTCCAACATAATTTACTCCCTTCTTGAATAGATGAAATGACTTTTGCACAGTAGAAGCCAAGGCTATCAGCAGCTTCAGCTTTAACCTGTTGTTATGCAGCTAAATTTCTCCACAAAATGTAATTGTTTTTGGTCTCAGTGTAGTATATTATGCAAATGTTAAGCTGACCAGCTAAGCAGCATTCTGCAGGTCTGCATTGTGATAGCTCTTATAATTCACTTTTTTATATGAAATTTAGGGGAAACGTATCAAAAGTTTTATTGATCCATGTTTCAGAAGTCGTTACCTAATTCATGCCTGTGTGTGGAGGTGGATGATGGACTGGAGGTGATGGTAGCTTTCTCTGGTTGGTGGGTGGGGGTAGATCTCATCCCCGAATAAAGCACTGAATGGATTGATCCACAGCGCTCGTGTTTACAAGGAGTCTCTTCACAATCACACAGTTTAATAGTGCACTGTCCCAGAAGGCTTGTTGTATCCGTGTCCGTTTTGTTCCTTGGGGCAGGGAAAACAAAAGTGCCGGGAAGGGAGAAGAGGAGAGCAACCTCAGGGGAGCTGTGAAACGGCACTGGAGCCCTCCATCTCTGGGCTTCCTGCCAAGATAACGTTTCACTTCACCGACTGTTTCTTTTTTTTTAGGAAACCACAACACAATCTGGAGTACTACCAGCCTTTATGGGCCAAAATCTATTTAGGTTTCAACTAGCCAACATGAGATTCACTGACTTGTAGTCAGTAAATTTGAGCATTTGAGGGCAGGAATCGCAAATGAACTTAACACACTCCCCTTGAGCCATAAGTGGTCTAATTTTAATTTTAAAGTAAAGCCGGTTTCTGCTGAAGAGAGCTGGGCAACTGTCTTAATCATGCACTCCTACAATAGGATGCAGCTCACACAGGTCCCTCAATAAATCCCAGGCGAACACAAAAGCTGTCAGTGGACTGCTACTGAATAGATTAATAAGATTTCCATAATTAGGAAGGCCCCTGACAATAGGATCCTTCAGGCTTTGTCTCAGGGCAAACTGGATTGTCTAAGCTGTGCACGTCTGCTGGATGGCCGTACGCCACAATGGCCACACAGACAGTATGGCGGCCAGCAGAGGAACATCTGTCTCTCCTGGGGCCGAGAACACACACACATTTCATGTGGGTACACACAAGGTTCTTATCGAGCTCCTCACAGCCAAGTAAAACCATCAGTCAACAGAGAAGCGGCCTTTAACTTGGTCACCAAATCAAATTTCTGTAATGCTGCTCAGCATAAATTAAACCGTGAAACTGATAAATGATAAAATGTACGAAATACTCTATACAATACAACCCTCTTGTGAATGACAACAGCAACAAAAGCTTCCAAAATCTTTAGATGAGAACAGGACTCCCTTTTTGAACATAATGATGCCAAGTTCGTGCATAATTTTTTAATCCATCTTCTTCCTTAACATGAGTCATATAGAGTTGGTAGGTGTGTGGCAGGAAGGAAATGTCATAGTATCAGAGCTGGAAATGCATTATATATAAATGAAACTTTCAAAATGGCTACTTACATCTGCAATATAAAATTCACAAATTACATTAGGAGTGTATTGTCTTGTTCTCATGATGTATAGGATAGTTTACAATCTAGTGCTGCAGTTAATGTAATGCTTGCACTGCTACTGACAGTATGTACACGTCGACCTACTAATCTCAGCTTTCTTCCTTTCCCTCCAGTGAATTAATCTACATGATGACTCTGATTTAAGCAGAAGTGTTCAGTTTGCCGTGCACTGCCACTGCTCCAAAAACCACAAACCAGCAAGCAGAAGGCGAGCTCTAATTACATGGAGCGACTAAACTGTACCACAACCCTGCTGTGTTCATCAGGGCTGAGTGGCGGCCTATCACTCACCTAACTCACTCTGTACATGCACCTTTTTGAAATACTAACAGTAAGTAATTAATGTCAGATTTAAAACTGAATTTGTTCTTCGGGTATGGGCAGCTGGTCATTACACTGGTCAGGGGGGTAGTGTAAGGGAAGTCCATTCCGTATTGCTGTGATGATGGAGTGGACAGCAGTTAGCCCGCCTCACTGAGCCCTCTAATGCC